TTTTGAGCCGTAGAGGCGAAAGCGTATTTTCAGTTAAGGTTTAAGCCGTAGAGGCGAAAGCGTATTTTCAGCCAGGTTTTGAGCCGTAGAGGCCGAAAGCGTATTTTCGTCCAAGTTTTGAGCCGTTTTTAGTATTTATTACAGACCGGGCCGCTCGTCTTAATACTAGGCTATTAGAGTAGTAGGAGTGAAAAGCGCGACAGTGACTAATTTTGTGTCTGTTTTTGGCATTTTTTTACATAAGCGGTATAGTGGTATAGTCAGACTATGTCTACCCCAAATAGTTATATCGTTCCAAATCCCTGCTTGCTTTTGCATATGCCAAGTATCCTGTACCGTCATTCGCTCTTACTACTCTGATAAGCTAGCATTAAGACGAGCGGCCTAGTCTGTAATATCATGTAAGATTCCTTCGCAGAAACGATAAAGTTAAACTCTTTATCCTGATTCTAGGCTATCAAAGAAGCAGGGATAAATGACAATACAGGATAGTCGAGACGGAATACGCAGAGGTTATCTGGTATGCTAGGCTCACAATAGGACGGGACAGCCACACACCCAGGGGGGGAGAGACGGCGGCAGCGTATGCGAAGGAGGTACCATTAATAATACCGCCGATAGACGTGGTGGAGATGTACATAACGGATAAAGCTATCCGTGATATAAGTAGATAGTAGAATTATCGTCTTTGAGTTATATTATATTCGCAATGATACTGCCGACAGATGTGCGAAGATTATATGAATATGCTATTAACGTATATTCGCTACTTCCTTTAATTATCTAATAAGCATCTTTAAGTTAATAAATATGCTCTAATTCTATATTATTATAAAGCTATTTAGTTTTATTCTATTTTATCCTAGCACTACTTTAGTAGTAGCTAGTTATACTTAAAGGAATATTATACGTTTAACGTATCGTGTAAAGAGCTCTATAGTTAATAAAATCTAGAACTAAAGATAGTTTTTAATAATATACTAATTTTCAGACGTACTAGATAGCTATTCTTATAGAGAATTAGATCCTTAATACTATTCTAGCTATAAATATCGCTTGACTTGTTTCCCTCTATTTGCTATATAGCGTATTAGATTAATTATCTTAGAAAAGAATAGCAGGCTATAC